CGCTTTAGCAGAATCAGGATAATAATAGGATAGTGCACCTCTTTGGCAATGATAAATTTTAATATGAACCGCTTCGGCAAATGGGTTAGAACCACTTCGACAAATGAGCGCACCCACTTCGGCAGACGGGTCAGGAAAGAGAGTTAAGAATCTGAATTTGGATAATGTTTCACTGAGAGTTGTCCGATTACCCTTATAGGTTTTCCGGGCTTTGCCCACCTCTGGCCAGCAGTAACTGAAAATGGTGAAGTGGTATGGGTTTAACGCCCCTATCAACACTATTAGGTTATTTAAGAGGCGAGGCCTCCGAGTTCAACGTCCATCTCCGAAAGGACCGAGCCAGTTGGGAAATTCGTGCAAAGTGCCTTTCCCAAAGACACAACGTTGGACCGAGCTGAGGCTCGAACCCCCAAACCCGCACTCTCACGATTACAAGTCCGGTAGCCTAACCACTAGGCTACCGACGCCACCCAGCAGTAACTGTAAGACTGGAACAGAGGTGTCTTTGCACGCAAATGGTGGCGCAAGGACTACGCGAATTCGCCCTAGGGGGATTTTGAATTGAAATTGATCAATACGATATTCTTTGCAAATTACTGAAATAAATAACTATAGAGTCATGAAACCGTCGTCCTTTATTCTTTTTTTTTATATCAATATTAAACATCGTTAAAGTATACCAGTACAGTGAAGGATACTTATATTTCACAAGTTAATGTTAAAGATGACACCTTTGCAACAAGTTGGGATATAGATAATCATGTTTTACAAGTTAAGTAATAAATATCCGTGTTATACAAGTTAAGAGATAGATAACCATGTTATACAAGTTAAGAGATAGATATCCATGTTATACAAGTTAAGTGATAGATATCCATGTTATACAAGTTAAGAGATAGATAACCAAGTTATACAAGTTAAGTGATAAATATCCATGTTATACAAGTTAAGTGATAGATATCCATGTTATACAAGTTAAGTGATAGACAATAATGTTATACAAGTTAAGAGATAGATAACTATGAGAAAAGAATTGTGCAGAAGACGGCCACCCTATGTAACAAGTACTTGAATGATAATGCGCCGTCATATTTATCAATCCTGCTGAGACTGTACATTTCAACTCCCAGTTTAAAGGTCATCAGCTGACAAAAAGAAATTTCTTGTACCATCTATGAAACTTAAAACAGTGGGTGAAAGAGCAATTGAATATCAAGTCCCCAAGATCTGGAATGCTTTGTCAAGTACTATAAGAGAGATCAAATTTTTTGATTCATTCAAATGTAAGCTGAAGTCATTTCTGTTTTAAAATTATTTGTGAAGCAGCGTGGCGGAATCAGGCTCTCGTTAATTTTTGGGCATGTAGAGTTATTAGTATCATCTTAAAGCTTGTTCACTTGTCTTTATTTGGATGGAAAAAATATCAATTTATTATGATTGCAAGTCGAGATATCTGCGAATAAAGGAGGTGGGGGTCACCTGTTTTCAGAGGTAAAATAAGTGAGAAAATGGCCGCCAAAGATTAGTTATTTCCTTAGCAAAAAGAGTCCGTGGTAACAGAAAATGTGTATTTGTGATTTGGAAGATCAGCTGAAACACATGATTCCAAAAACCCCTTAATCGTGAACAGTGGATAAACATATGTTCGACAAAGTCTTCTACACCACAGTATTCACACAGTTCTGAAGATTTTATGCCTATCCTATTCAACAAGATATTTGTTGGGAATATATTGTGAAGTATTTTAAAATGTAGAAGGCGAAGACTAGATTCTTGCGTGGCCATATGTGCTAGACTATACCTATCTGCTATGTCCACTCCAAGCTTTCCAACCAAAAGTTCTTACCGAATACCTGAACCTTCTCCCGCCCCAAGACAATTCGTCGTAACTCCTGATTGTTGCTACAAAGTACATGAAGATTTTCAGCACTAATTCTTTCGCACACAACTGCTGCACACTGACTGTGTTCCAGTGTGTTGTTCTGGTTCAGTAGCTCTGTCCATGATTTTGGTAGGCCATTAATTAGAGCATAATAATCAAAGTCAAAGCCTGCATAATTTCCTATTGTGTGTTTCATTTCTTCTTTTGTTTTCACCCGTCCCCTGTCATAAACCCGGTAAATGTTTTTTATTTCTCTTCTCATCCAATATTTCAGAACAAGTGAATTACCTTTGTACTGTATCTTTTTGTTGTTGAAAAGGGGTTGCGTAAGAATGTCATTCACTTATTTGAGCTGTGTATCACCTAACTCTCTTTGTACTTCATGCTGTCATGACCGCTATCCAAAATGTAGATGCACCAGCTGGCTTGATCAGATGTTTAGGGTTAATAGTTGCTTTTAAAAAGTACTTTAGACCGCCAAGTTGATTAAAAATGATGTCTGTAATTTGCAACTCGTCCTCAGCTAAACGTTTGCTTATTGCTAGACGCTTCATCCATTTCAATAAGAACACTTTTTGTTGACCACGCACCCCTGACCATACCTAACCCTCCCTCTTCTACAGACTTGCAATTGGCTGTTCTTTTAATCTTCTCCTTAGCCTTTCAGTTCGAGAACTTTTTCTGCCATAAAAATTTGAAAAACAGTGTGTCAATGTAGCTAGTGACCTCGTCAGGTAAAAACAGTGTGTCAATGTAGCTAGTGACCTCGTCAGGTAAAACAGTGCTTGCATGATATACGAAATTTGCGACAGCAAGAAAGTCTTACAGAGTATTACCTTTCCATAGAGTGAAGGGTTTCTCTTTTGCCACATTTTCATGATATTTTAAATTGTTTCTAACTTTCCTTTCTAATTTAGATCAATTTTAGAAGCCTCCTCGACTGCACTAAAATAAATCCCAAGGATCTTCATTTTGCCACCAGTTGGCATCCAGACAATATTCCCTGGAGTCTGATCATTATGTTTACTCCTACCTATCCACATGTCCTTTGATTTCAGCTTATTGAGTCTCAGGCCCGAAATCCTAGAGAAGTTATCAATGTCCCTGAGGGCAACAACAAGATCATGTTGGTCTCTCAATAACAGCGTAGTATCATCTGCGAATTGAAGAATCTTACCTAGATGCACTGTCCTTTCACTTCTCTGTAATGACAGACCTTTTATATCTTTATTACTTCTTATTTTTATGGCCATCTCTTCAACTACAAGGACAAAAAGAAGTGGACTGGCGCAGCACCCCTGTTTAACTCCACGCTCTGTGTTAAACCAGCCAGACAACCACCCCCCATTTTGCACACAGCACTCTGTGTTAGTGATAATGGTTTTAATCATATTAATAAACTGATCACCAAAATTGAACTTTCTCTAAGCAGCTAAAATTGATCTCTTTTCAATTGTGTCAAATGCGTGTTGGAAGTCTAAGGAGACCACCATTCCCGGGATATCATATTCTGGGGAGCTAAAAATAGCGTCATCAAGAGTTCTGATATGTTCTGCAATTGACCTTCCCTTTAAAAAACCTGATTGGTCATGGCTGATTATATTTTCCATAATGCTCTGAAGGCGTAAAGCTAGCAGCTTTGAAACGATTTTATAATCCGTATTTGTCAAGGTGATTGGGCGCCAGTTTTTAAGATCATCCCTTCGAGTTATTGTTCAGTGTTTTGGTTCCCATGTCAAGTTCTTCGATGGTAATTGGTTTGTTACGTTCTTCTTGTTCCACCACGGACAATACTGGGTGGTCAATATTTTGCATCAGACTCGTTATACCTTGGTCTACATCGCTTACACTAGCATCTTGTCTGTTTAACCCTTCAAAATGTGTTTTTATTTCTTCTATGATCTCAGTGTGATTTTGTATTACAGTTCCTTTCCCACTGCATGTCACGGGTCTGGAAAACCCGATGTTAGGGCAAAGATAGTAAATAACAAGATGGGCCACTCAGCCAAAAAGTGTCCGCAGGAAGTATGCTCTTTGCTTCAGATAGCGCTGCAGTCTGTTTTGAAGCTCTCTTTCGTTTTTCCAGAAGAAGAATAGGAATAGCAACTCCTTGCGTGCGCGGATCGACTGCTGTTCATCAGCAGTTCGGGTTCGTCCAGTGCGGAGTTTTAGGTTATTTATATTTTAATGACCTCTCGCCTTTCATTCTAAAGTCAAATTAAACGAAGAAAACAATCACCCTTTCCTCCGGAAGAGGTTTTTTGTCAGCGTAACCATTTTAAAAAAGCGTTCTTCCGAAATTCATTGAAAAACTTGCTAGTTTAACTTTGATTTTTTAAAACTCAAGTAGGATAACTCTGTTCGCAAAAGGTGCGCTTTTGCGAAGAGGGCGCCACCGAATTTTGAGGACACTTTTTTAATTGGCTCAAAGAGAGAAGTGGCCCCTCTTGTTATGTAGACTCATTGGTTAGGGTCAAAAAATCGATTTTTCACTTTCTCCATTTTTTGGGTACCTGAATATCTAAAGAATCGATAACGCTTGAAGTTTCATTAGAAAAAAGTCAAGAATTCTATTTATAGGCTTTTTCCGGAGGGCACCCTTGTCAAAAGTTGGCGCGTTTTCTTCAGATTAGCCCATAATTTGACCGCGACAACTACCGTGTTCCCCCGAATGACCCTATCCTGTTTAGTATCGTTGTTCTCCCAAGCCCCTCTTCTTCTTTCAAATCCCTAAACGATCAAGATCCAATCTTCCCCATGGCTCTTGGCAACCTGTTGTTTCCCGTTTTTATTCAGATAGGAAGTCCGCTTCTAAATGATATTATAGATTATTTAGATGGAGATGTAAAAACACATAATTTAAATAATAATGATAATGATAATGATAATAATAATAATAGTAATAATATAATAGTAATAATAATAATCATAATCATAATAGTATTCATAGTCATAGTAATAATAATAATGATAATGATAATAATAACAATAATAATTATTATTATTATTATTATTATTATTAATATAACTATAATAATAATAATAATAATAATAATAATAATAATAATAATAATAATAATAATAATAATAATAATTTTTCTTTTTCTTCTCCCACAGC